ACTTTATTTATTGTTAATGTAAAAACTGGATGCAATATTGTAGTAAAATGCTGAGAATTCCATTCTGTATCACAAGTACTGATTTGGAATAAAGCTTATGTTATGTTATGTTAAAGCACTAACTTCAAACACAAGGAGAGACACTGTTTGACTTGGAGACCCCCTTCATCAAACCAACGCTGGACACAAATAGACCACATAGCAATAAGCTATCGTTGGCGTGGGTCGGTAGGAGATTGTCGCTCCTTCTGGAACACGTGCGTAGATACCGACCATGCACTGGTCCGCGCTCGGGTGTGCTTACGACTGAACGGACGTAGGAAACAGCTGGCGGTAAAACCATCACGTCCCCAGCTCGATCAGGAAACTAAATCCGTATTTGAGGAAGAACTAGCTAAACACATATCTGTGTTCGACAGCTGTGCTCACCCTGAAGAAGCTTGGAAAAATATCCAGGCAGCCATAGATACAGCTGTAAAAGCTGTGAATAAGGTAAACCCAAAGGTGAGTAAAAACCACTGGATCTCCACCGCCTCATCCGAACTGATAGATGCTAGAAGACTTATTCCGGCGAGCTCCGAATTCAATGAGGAGCGAAAGCTGCACAAGAGGAAACTTACGAAAAGTCTCCGCAAGGACCGTGAACAGTGGTGGGCGACAAAAGCCAAAGAGATGGAGAAAGCTTCGAGGATAGGCAACACCAGGCAACTCTTTAGACTCATCAGGGAAACGGGTGGGAGAAGACAAATCATCAGTGAGACAATCTCGGAAAAAAATGGCACTATAATTAGCTCCCAGGATAGACGACTGGATCGTTGGAAAGAGCATTATGAGGAGCAGTTTAATTTGCCCACAGCCACGCTCAACCTTCCGAGCATCCAACACCTCCCTGAATGGGATATAGACTCACTAACTGAGGTTACTAAAGCTGTCACCAATCTGAAACTAGGCAAAGCAGCGGGACCTGATGGAATGACTCCAGAGGTATTTAAGTACGGTGGAGACAGCTTACTGTCCGGATTAACTGAGGTACTAGGCAGCGTCTGGGAATCAGAAGAAGTCCCATCGGGTTGGTGTAAGTCACTGATTATCCCCATATACAAGAAGGGAGACAAGTCTTCCTGTGATAATCACAGAGGGATTAGCTTGACTAATATAGTATCTAAAGTCTTAGGCTCAATAATCATGCGTAGACTGAGTGGTGCTCGGGAAGCACAAACACGAGAGAGCCAGGCAGGCTTTAGACCAGGAAGAGGGTGTATTGATCATATCTTCACCCTCCGACAGATTCTAGAACATAGGCATTCCTACCGGCGTCCAACAGTCATTATATTTCTTGACCTAAAGGCAGCATTCGACTCTGTCGATCGGGAAGTTCTCTGGAGATGCTTGGCTGTAAAGGGAATTCCGAGAAAATATATTGCACTGATTAAGGCACTCTACTCGTACTCATACAGCCAGGTGAGGGCTTACGGCGAGCTGTCATCTGAACTGATGACGACCAGTGGTGTCCGTCAAGGATGCCCATTATCTCCTTTTCTATTCAACTTCATCATAGATGTGTTAATGGACTTAACCCTAGGTGACTTCAGCGACTCAGGGATTGACTTGCTACCGGGAATAATCTCGTTGACTTGGAATATGCAGACGATATAGTCCTTCTAGGCGAAGACGCTGACGAAATGCAGAGTCTTCTAAACACCTTGAGCCGCAATCTACGAATGTTTGGCATGCGATTCGCTCCCGCCAAATGCAAGATGATGTTACAGGACTGGACTACATCGACGCCTAGTTTAAAAATAGGAAGTGAAGTGGTAGAGCACGTTGACCGCTTCACTTATTTGGGAAGTACCATCAGCCCCAACGGGTTGATCTCTGACGAAATCTCAGCACGAATACAAGGGGCTCGTTTCGCATTTGTTAGTTTACGCCGACTCTGGCGTAGACGAGATGTTCGACTATCGACCAAAGGGCGGGTGTACTGCTCATCAGTCCGCTCCGTCCTCCTTTATGGTTGTGAGACCTGGCCACTGAGAGTGGAAGACATGAAAAGACTAGCTGTCTTTGATCATAGGTGCCTGCGCTCTATTTCCCGTGTAAAGTGGCATAATAAGGTGAGCAACATTGAGGTTAGGCCTCAGTCGAGTTCTGAAGAACACCACTGTCTGTCTGTCTGTTTTCGACATAGAACTTTGCACAAATGTGTGGAAGTTCAAGTCGCCACATTCCGTGTAGCACGCGAAGCAAGAGAAGAAAGTACAAAAAAGGCATAATAGAAACAGTGAGCAGAGGTGTGAGACAAAGGAGTAATAAAGAAAAACAAAACAGTTTCATTGAAGATCATAAGTCACAGGGAGTGGATGCATCTGCGGGCCACTGAGAACGGTTTTGAGCCATGTCACCAATTGTTTCCAACCATAGATTTTTACAGTCCCGAGGACCCCAACCTGGAAGTCTACACCTTCCTACGTGGCTTAGACCAACTGTTGTAGATTTCATTGACTGATGCCAAGTTTTTGTTTGACCGCCGCTAGCTTTTTTCCAGCCTGACCCTATATCCGCTAACATTGCTCGTCGAGGGAGGCGATGGCTTGGCATACGTAACACATGTCCTAACCATCTCAGTCTTTGTAGCTTCACGACTTCGTCGATTGATTTCCCCTGTTTACCTAGAACTCTACGCCTAACCTCAATGTTGCTCACCTTATTATGCCACTTCACACGGGAAATAGAGCGCAGGCACCTATGATCAAAGACAGCTAGTCTTTTCATGTCTTCCACTCTCAGTGGCCAGGTCTCACAACCATAAAGGAGGACGGAGCGGACTGACGAGCAGTACACCCGCCCTTCGGTCGATAGTCGAACATCTCGTCTACGCCAGAGTCGGCGTAAGTTAACAAATGCGAAACGAGCTCCTTGTATTCGTGCTGAGATTTCGTCAGAGAACAACCCGTTGGGGCTGATGGTACTTCCCAAATAAGTGAAGCGGTCAACGTGCTCTACCACTTCACTTCCTATTTCTAAACTAGGCGTCGATGTAGTCCAGTCCTGTAACATCATCTTGCATTTGGCGGGAGCGAATCGCATGCCAAACATTCGTAGATTGCGGCTCAAGGTGTTCAGAAGACTGCATTTCGTCAGCGTCTTCGCCTAGAAGGACTATATCATCTGCATATTCCAAGTCAACGAGATTATTCCTCGGTAGCAAGTCAATCCCTGAGTCGCTGAAGTCACTTAGGGTTAAGTCCATTAACACATCTATGATGAAGTTGAATAGAAAAGGAGAAAATGGGCATCGTTGACGGACACCACTGGTCGTCATCAGTTCAGATGACAGCTCGCCGTAAGCCCTCACCTGGCTGTATGAGTACGAGTAGAGTGCCTTAATCAGTGCAATATATTTTCTCGGAATTCCCTTTACAACCAAGCATCTCCAGAGAACTTCTCTATCGACAGAGTCGAATGCTGCCTTTAGGTCAAGAAATATAATGACTGTTGGACGCCGGTAGGAATTCCTATGTTCTAGAATCTGTCGGAGGGTGAAGATATGATCAATACACCCTCGTCCTGGTCTAAAGCCTGCCTGGCTCTCTCGTGTTTGTGCCTCCCGAGCACCACTTAGTCTACGCATGATTATTGAGCCTAAGACTTTAGATACTATATTAGTCAAACTAATCCCTCTGTGATTATCACAGGAAGACTTGTCTCCCTTCTTGTATATGGGGATAATCAGTGACTTACACCAACCCGATGGGACTTCTTCTGATTCCCAGACGCTGCCTAGTACCTCATTTAATGCAGACAGTAAACTGTCTCCACCGTACTTAAATACCTCTGGAGTCATTCCATCAGGTCCCGCTGCTTTGCCTTGTCTCAGATTGGTGACAGCTTCAGTAACCTCAGTTAGTGACGGAGGACCTGTGTTCTCTACCATAGATTCCTGTCAAATGAAGTCCCTTTGAATTACTTTTTCTCTACCTTTGTGTGCTATATAGAACTCGGAAATTTGAACTGCTGTCATTTTGAGAACATTTCAGTCAGTTCACAGAGATTAGCCCTAATTGCGAAGTGCAATGTGGAAGGTAAACGTAGATCTAAGGACTTAAGTGTTCGTCGTGTACCTATTTATGTCAACACCTGACTGTATGTTTTTAAGATTTCACTGAGAATATTTGTCGCTCAGGTAGATGATGCATTTGTTGTTATTACGTTTTTGGAGCTTAATAAATGTCTTTCTAGACACTGAAAGCTTCGCGGTTATCCAACCAGTTCAGAGAAGACAAAAATAAATACACCGAAATGTATTAAGCTACTTGATACATTTACTTTCTTCAATGAGGAGTTGGAAACATCTATCAAGATGGATATTACTTTATCCTGACACAATCATAATTCCTCACTGTATATTTCACCTTTATTTTATACGGCTTTAGAGTCTGAGAAACAAATTATGTTGTTAGAAATCATGACTTTATAATAACACCACTTTCAAGTAGACAGTAAACATTCTAAAATTATTCAGATCTTATCTGACTCGGTGAAACTTGGTGATAGGGAAGGGTTGATAAAATCTTTCATTACTTATGCAGTGTGTACCAGTACGTAAACGCTTATGTTCGTCTGCTTATTTATATTCACCAATAGTAATATATATATTTTTGAATTAATATCAGTAAAACGTTTGAGCATTGTGGATTAGATCAAATAAAGTATAACTATATTTCTATAGTTTACAAACAATGATAAGTTTTGTAATTGGTAATATTTCGAGCAAAATAAAACAATTCCAACAGTGGTGTGAACACGGGCAGTAATTTTGCTCGAAATATTACCAATAACAAAAATTATCATTGTGTGTAAACTTTTGAAATATAATTATACTTTATATATTTTGGATAACAAAAAATGATGACTGATTAACTAGTTGAAAGCACTAGAACAGGAAACATACGAATAAAAAGAAGGAAACAAATACTTAAGGTTCACACACACACACTTACCTTTAAGTTACTTTCTCTCAAATCCCATAAATGCACATCACCTTTTTGAGAACAGCCCAGGAGCAAATTCCTTCCCGATGAATAGTCGATATCCACAAGGTTACTTTCGACAGATATCTTTCTACTGCTACTACTGCTATTACCGTCATCATCACCACCGTCCACTTGCATTGTTGATAAGTGAATTAAATGCAACTGAAATCCTCTAACTTGATATACCATATCATGATTATTATGTGCGACCAGAATATTTTCACAGTATTTTTGTGGCAGATGACTTATAATATTTAACATGCTTTATTAGTGAAATATTTCTGCGAAGAAGAGCAAATGCTTTCAGAGATTCAATGATCATTCTCTAGTTTATAACAATTTATTTGAAAGTGTAAAAGTGGGCATAAGTGATGCAATTCGACCACATAAAACCACCACAAATCAACAACAGTATATTGGTACTAGTTCATAACTTAGTTTTATCACTAGTGTCTGTGTGGTAAGTGAGTAGAACACACAGTTTCAGGGGATTATCTGCACTACACTCAGTCCTCTGCCATCACTTTCGACTGGCTGCATAACTACTTACAGTAATTTCCTCTTCACATGGTCACCTCCGCGTAACACTTTGTCGCCTAATCCGTCGTTACCTATTTACTTTCTACTCGACAGCTTGGCATATGATGCCACTTCAAGGTCTCCTCAGAGTTTGTCCAGTCCTTCTCTATTTCTCCACGTTTTTGAGGTAATAGGTTCTTATCAGCTAGTTCGCTGTCTGCCAAAGCTTCTTGTTGCTTATAGTTGCGGGTAAGACATGCAATTTTTAGTACCAAGGGGATGTATCCGTTGATAAAAGTCCTCAGAGCCTTGTTGAAATTTAAATGAAGTGTGCACTAATCCTGTGAACTCATTCGCAAGTGAAAAAATTAGGGGTAATTTCGAGATCTCGGCAGATTAATCTGAAAGTCTTAGGGGAACTTACTGAAGTTCACTAGAATTCCTCAAAACATTAAATACCTCAAGAATACCTACAATATTCCCTTAAATTCACACTACACGGCTAGAGTAACATAAAAACACCAAATATTCTGATGTGATATGTAAAAGTAGTGACATAATATTCGCGCTAACAATTAAAATTTAATTCTTTGAGCTGCTGTTTAAGTTTTAAACTTTCTGTATACCAAAATCGGAACAGTGAAAGAAAGAAAGAAAGAAAGGGAAAAACATATCACGTGAAAATGTGACGTACTTACCACAATAAGCGCCTAATAATGGTTCAGATTCAGAATTCCAATATTTCCAGTATCGTTTTTACGGGCTAGTATAAACCAATTTGATTGATTGTGGGGTATAGGCTCCTGATCTTCGGTAAACTTCTGCGTAGCTCGTCCCGTCTTTCGACTGTCGTAGCTTTGGTTGACTGCAAAAGGAGTAGTGTTGGGATTGCTTATATGTGGTTTGTAGTATGAGGCGTGTTAAGACTGTTACTACTGTGAACGGAGTTGATCCATTCACCAGTTAGTACTCCTTTATCGTCTTCAAAAGAAAAGAGATAATGATGATAGATATAATTGGTGAATCTATTCAGACTATCAGACAGAAAAAGGAGTAAAGAAAACGTAACCACAGTCAGCTGATTAAATTTGAAATTGATATATATATATATATATCGGTAACAATAATAAGTGTAGTTAGAGTTGTCAGGAAAGCAAGACGAGAGAGAACGTAAAGAAGTAAAACGACGAACTTAGTTGTCTACCCATGAATGGTGTATGGGATTTTAAGGGGATAGGCCATTTGGATTCAGTCCTTGTGTTGCTGCATGGTTGTCCAGCCTTCGCTTAAAGGCGTCCACAGACAGTGTCATAGCTACATCTGCCGGTAAGGAATTCCAGGGACGGCAAACCCGCAGTGAAAAAAGTGGGAGCGCACCCGGGTCCTTGCCCTCTGGTGAGCTATCCTTCTGGGATTTCCATGAGGGAGCCCATGCCTGCTCAATGGCGGAACACCTTTGTTTGTGGGATTCTGGTCATTTGTTATTTTGTAGACAGTAATTAACCCCCCCCACCCTAAGATGACGGTAGCTAAGTGTGAATGGGCCTAATTTCTCCAGCCTTTCATCATATGGTTTATTTCGGAGACCAACCACTCCTTTTGTTTCCCGTCGTTGAACTCTTTCCAAGAGGTTGGCGTCTCTTCTCAGCATTGGGGGTGCAATAATATTATGCACCTCAAGGTGTGGCCTGACGTATGTTTTGTACAACCTTAGAAAGAGCTCAGGAGTGGGTGCACCTAACCGTCTATTTGCAAGTGCCCTTGCTACATCCCCTGTGTAATTTACGCTTGTGTCCATTTTTTTCGTTAGAACTAGACCTAAGTCGCGCTCCTACGTAGGCTTGGAGCCTATGTCAACTCTTTTCTAGTAATTTTCTGTGCTTGTCCAAACCCTTCTTGAATGAATCAGTTGAGGTTGCAGACACCACTTCTTCTGGGGTCGGTTCCAAGAGTGTATGACTCGGTGTGAGAACCAGTACTCCACAGTATTACGATTTCTTCTTGGCTTTTGAACCCCAACCCCTGCTATGTTCTCTAAGGTGTTCGGACCTGGTGGGAAGGAAAAGAAAGAAAAGGTCATGTCTGTAGTCATTATCTAAAGTTTAAAATGTCTCAGATGGAATGCGGTGGCCTATCGAATGTCTTTGGTATCGGGGTGATGTCACCCTGGGTCCTGTGGAAATTGAGCGCACACATATTCACTGCCAAAATCCTTTGCAATACGGTGATCTACCTTTATACCCTTTCCAGGAGGCGCATCCCTCTATGCGAAAGACAGTGCAGTAACACTGTGAACTTCTATAAGTGTAGTATTCCGCCATGTTTTTTCCGTCACGTAAATCATACAGCGGCCTGCTTGTACCTTGGTTTGCCAAAAATAAAATCTTCCACTAAGTCTCATGTTGCCTCGATTTGCTCCTATATTTTCTAATCAATCTCTATTTTCTTCAAGTCGTCCTTTTTACGATCGCATACATTTAAACTGCTTCCACCCTATCACGTGTAGTCATCCTTGAAAATCAAGGAATTGCATCATTGTGTTTGCAGCATGCAAAAAAACGTACACAAATTATTCATATGGCTGTCTTGAAGAGGTTAATAATAATAATGATTTACTTTATTCCAAAAACAGTACTTGTGATACAGAATGGAATTTTCAGCATTAATCACAATATTGCATCTAATTTCCTCAAATTATAAATAAAATTAATCACACAGAAAATTTTCCACATTTACAATAGAGGTAGTGTCAAAAACATGCAGCATATAAAATGGAAATGGTAATAATAATGATAACAGCTAGGGTAATAATAATAAGAATACAAGTGAAAATTGACGTTGGCTTGTGTCACACAGTATTGGCAATGTGGTATAGAAATCCTGACATTTATAAAGATATTGAATATAACGTTCTCTTTACATGATATGGTGAGGGGAAAAACAAAGATTACAGCCGTCATGGAGATAAGTTGGTGTTTGCAATTATGAGAGTAAAACAGAGAAGTAACAGGACCATAAATATAATAGAAGTAATAAAAGTAAAACTTGAAGGTATATAAGGATGGATGGAGGAAATTGTTTATTTACTAGATGAAAAAAGGTTAGTTAATTCTTGCCTGATACGATTTTCATCACATAAAATACATGCCAAATAAGGTATCATAGAATTCTTATACTTAGACTTCCGAGCATACAGTTTTCTGACGTTACTTGTTGTTCTACCTGAGGAGATGCAAGGTGAAAGCCGTAGATCTCTGCCTAATAAAGTGGACCATCTCCAGTCTCAAATACACTCAAATGGGCATCTAAATACTACTGCTCAAGCAGCACGAGAGACTTGGCTACTTTTATTCATACCAAGAGGCCTGCGTCTAATCATGTCATCCACGTCTCGTAAACCGTTAATGCCCAGCTCTTGCTGCACTCAGGCTCACGCTGTTCCTTGAAGTTTCTCAGAAACGCTTAGTAATAACGGACGAAAAAACCAAAACACCGATTGGACACTCGAGGATTCTTTATTGTAACACCAACATATGAACAATGTTACAACTAAGGTCTGTGAACAAATATTACAATAATAAATCACAATATTACTTCTGACGGTTTTGTCCTGACTTCTTTCTGAACAGCGACCGATGAGACGATGACTGTCGTATTGATGCCTGGGCGAGAATTGGGGAAGTTGGTTTTGAGCAAACAACCATGAATTGATCGTTCAATCTTCAACCACATTGACAAATCATATGTCCTTTCAGTCTCCAGGTTACTATGGTTTGTGTCAGTGTCAGGTGTCTCCCAAAGCATCTGAACAAATATTCCTACAGTTTCTCTGATATATCTATCTTTGTTGACGAATTCCCTAAATTTGTGATTCCTCCGTCTGTGGAGTCTCAAATAGTTAGCCAGTTAGTTTTTTAACAGTTTAGGCCCAGAAAATAGGGGAGGTTGAGCGTGAAACTAGCTACTCTACACCGTGAAATCAGTTCAGTCGCTACAGAAACTTCGAAGAACAAGAAAACCAGACTTATTCCTGCTGGAATCCGATAGGTGGAATGACATGCCCTGGTGAGAGCCTTCAAAAAGCCAGTCAGCCAATTTGTCTCCTTTCGATAAAAGCAGAAATAAGCTCCGTGATGTGGAAGGTTCGAACAATATAAGAGGCTGGGAAGGCTGCCCATGCTGCTGAAGAAATGAGGAGACGCGTCATGGAAGTGCGAGTGCAGATGGAATGGATGTCAAAATTGTCAACTTTAGTGGTCACCCAGGCAAGATCCATGGGAACACTGAGGCTATCATGGTTTCACCAACAGCAGGCAACAGCTCCTTCAGGATAATAATAGAAAGATCCAAATCAAAAGGAAAGAAGTGTACAGTTACTTATCACTACAAACAACTCAGAACAAGGGAAGAAGGAAGATTTTTATTGAAAAATGGACCATATCCCTAATAATGTTATTATTGTTTCCTTTAATTCCTAGAGGGACATAGGGCTTCAGGCGCACGCCTCCACTGCGTTGGGTTCTCTTCCAATGTTTTCACATGGCTCCACGTCTGCTCACATGCTTCACACCTCCGCTGAATATTCGCAATGCAAACTCTATCATACCCATGGATAAAACCGATGACGATTGTGCGGTACTCAAGTACTGGACGAACCATGACTTTGCCTAAGAGGACTCTAACCTCAGTTGCGTACATTCTTCAGTGTCACGAGTGTGTGAGTTTTCAGCTTTTAGAAACAACTGATTTTGCGTACTGACTGAATGTTAAGTTTTGTGAGTAGGTAGCTCCAAGGTCTTCTATGGAATTAAGAGTTTGAAGAAAAGTGTCATCCGGGTGTAACGTGAAATTCGGATGGGAGTTATTAAAGTATGGGACACCACATTTATCAGAATTGAGTGGCAGTCGCCCTTCAGTGCTCTAGCTACGTAACCCATTCACATAGTCTTGAATACTCGTGAATCCCTCGTTCAGGGTAGAACAGGATAAGCTGTATACAATCTCTAATTCGTCAGCAAAGAGGTATGGGGTACTGTCAATGTAGTTGAAGATTGAACGATCAATTCATGGTTGTTTGCTCAAACTCAACTTCCCCATAATTTTTGCGGGTCATCAATCTGACAGTCATCGTCTCACCGTTCGCTGTTCAAAGGAAGATAAAAAACTGACAGAAGTAATATCGTGATTCATTGATGTAATATTTTTTCTTAGACCCTAGTCTGTAATGCCAACATTGCTGCTTATATGTTGGCGTCAGAATAAAGAATTCTTGAGTTGCCAAACGGTGTTTTGGTTTCTGCGTCGGTTAATACTAAATGTTTCTGGAAATCTTCGAGGGACTGCGTGAGGCCCAGCGTAGCAAGAGTTGGTCATTAACGATTTATGAGACTTGATTGACAGGTACCATGCTCGATTACACTGCAGATATCGTTACTGTAAATTAAGAAAAGCAGTGGCTCTAGTACAACACTTTGAATCGCTCCACTTCGTGTTGGTCTGGGTGACGAGTAATTATTTGAGAATTTCACAACTTATAAACGGTCTTCCAATCAATAATTGTGCCAGGATAACAACGGGCTCTGCGACCCTTACGACTTTAGCTTGATAATCAGTCAGTTGTGTGTGACTTTATCAAAGGCTTTTTGAAGTCGAAGAAGAGGGTTGTGCCGAGCAAACCATGATCACGCTTAGTAGTAACGACATCAAAGTAGTCGGGGAGGCATGCGGAGCATAATTGACTTTTCAAGAAGCCATTCTGTGCTGTAGTAAGCACTTTTCGAAGGTGGGTTGTGAAGCGGTATCTTGC